CCCTCACCACCTTTGTTGCCCTTCTTTGGACATGCTCCAGCACCTCAACGTCCTTCTTGTAGTGAGGAGCCCAAAACTGAACACAGGATTCGAGGTGCAGTCTCACCAGTGCCGAGTACAGGGGCACGATCACTTCCCTACTCCTGCTGGCCACACTATTTCTGATACAGGCCAGGAGGCTGTTGGCCTTCTTGGCCACCTGGGCACACTGCCGGCTCATGTTCAGCCGGCTGTCAACCAGCACCCCCAGGTCCTTTTCTGCCGGGCAGCTCTCCAGCCACTCCTCCCCAACCCTGTAGCGTTGCATGGGGTTGTTGTGACCCAAGTGCAGGACCCAGCACTTGGCCTCGTTAAACCTCATACAGTTGGCCTCTGCCCATCGATCCAGCCTGTCTTCCTACCCTGCAGCAGATCAACACTCCCACCCAATTTGGTCTCATCTGCAAACCTACCGAGGGAGCACTCAATCCCCTCATCCAGGTCATCAATAAAGATTTTTTATGTTTGTAAACAGCAGTTCAAGCAAGGTACTTCTCCTGGTAGGCTCACTTACCATCTGTGTCAGGAAGTTATTTTCCACACACTCCACACAATAGGTAAAGCAAAAGCCATGCACGCAAGCAGAGCAGAATAAGGAATTCATTCACTCCTCCCCATGGGCAGGCAGGTGTTCAGCCATCTCCAGGGAAGCAGGGCTCCATCACATGTAATGGTATGGAATATCCCTTTGGCCAGTTGGGGTCAGCTGTCCTGGCTCTGTCCCCTCCCAGCTTCCCATGCACCCCCAGCCTTCCTGCTAGCAGGCCAGCAGGAGAAGCTGGACTGACTTGACTACTTAGCAACAACTCGAAACATCAGCACATTATTGACATTTTCTCATCCCAAATCCAAAACAGAGTCTCACACTAGCTTCTGTGAAGAAAATTAACTCTATCCTGGCTAATATCTGAAACCAGAACAGACTTCTTTCGGAATACTAAAGAAAATAAACACTGTGGAAAATTTTACATTAAGCAGAAATTTTTTATATTCTTTAAATAACTAAATTAGAAAAAAGTTCTACAGAAAATATAAAAGAATAGGGAACTCTAGCTCCAAAATATGTAAAATGGTGTGATCTCTCAAGTAAAGAGGTCCAGAGATAAATCACCAACAAAACCAGAAATGGCCTAGTAATTTTCAGTTCCAAATGTTTATTACCAAAATGTTTCCTTTTTTTGTTTTGTTTCTAAGGAAAATTTTCTGTATAGACTAAAAAACATATTTTTCTTTTGCCTCAGAATGGAAGAGAAAATTTCAGAAAAAATTACCTGTGACATAATTTACTTCGAATTAAATTTAAGTTAAATTTTTAAACATGAGTAATGAATGATACCAGGACAAGACTAAGCAATTCCAACTTTTTAGCAAGGTATTAATTACAGACAATTAGTAGGGAGTGGAGAAGTTCCATAGATGGGCTAAAGCATCTTGAGGGTATTGCTGGCTTCAAGGGATGAAATATGACACAAAGTAATAATTAAAAACATATTTCACTAACACTTGTACATCATGACATTTACCACTCTAATTATCTGTAATTGTTTAAACCTAAACATATTGTCACAGTGTACTCTTCTGCAAGTCTGATACACTGATGTCAGAGGAGAACAATGAAATGCAAGTATCAGCTCAAGACCAGTTTAGTTTATATATTACCCATACGCCAAATAGCTCCACATGTGAAATTTTAAATTCATATTTAAGGTGCAGAATTTGAAAGCTTCTACATTGCTCTAAAAAACTCAGTTAACAGATTAAGCATTATCAGGGAATGCCTATAATAAAAAGTTGTAGAATACCTATGAGGAAAATTCTTACTGACCCAGGCATGCAAACATTCTCATCAGAAGTCTTCTGTACATATTTCATGTACATCTAGAGCCAATTTACATTACAACAATCTATTTAAAACTCTTACTATTTCTAAAGTATCTTTTTGACTGAAAGGCTTTTTGACGTCAAGTTTGACAGAGTACAAATAACTGAACTTGACATGCACACATAGCTTTGTGAAACAACAGACATAGTTTAAGTTTCAGACCACCGATTTGAAATGGTGGAAACAGTTGGAATATTGGCACAAAACATATCCACAAAAGAAATAAAACAGATTAGTTTAGCTCTTTAAATGACACAGAAGGGAAGTATGTTATTTAAAAATGCTTTTGAACTGTTGAATATTCAAAGGCATTCTAACAGGTAGTTTTGGGGACTGACTTGTTTGTTTTCCAAGAGTGGATGTTTGAATAAAGTGCTATGGGTGAAGTAAGATTCAGACTTTAGCATTACTCCAATTCTTCCTCCACCCCCTAGATTAGTTTGAAAATATTTTGAGAAATAATATCACTTCTTAAAACGCAAGCTATACTGTTGTTGCTTAGCTGTAATCATGGAACAAGGGGTTAGA